AAATAACCAAAAGAAATATGTCCTAAACGCATGTGCCAACGCATAAGCTGGGCTTTTATTAGATGAAACAATATAAGAAAATGATGTTGAATGTGCTTGAGGTAACAAAGGAGCATCCAACAGGTATAAATCGTCCACTTCAAGCCCACTGCCAATCATCCGTTTTGACACCAGATCCTGAAAAATACAATGAAAAGGAAAGAACGTTACACTACAATTTAATTGTTTGGTAACGCTACAAACAGAAATAAGATTTGTAGTCAACTTTGGAACATGAAGTGTATTTGACAAAGTTAATGAAGGAGTAACTGATATGTGACCCTTCCCAGCAATGGAAGATGGAGAGCCATCCGCAAAGCGGACTTTGCATTGGCCAGAACAGATACTATAAGATTGGAAGAGTGAGGACATACCAGTCATATTGTCTGAAGCACCAGAATCAATGATCCATGGTGTTAAAGATGTAGATACGCTATATGCAGACGTAATAGTACCTGAGTGGACATAAGTGGAGGTTGGCTGACATGATGCCTCTATTTGGTTGAAGAATTGCTTGAACTTGTCCAAATCAACTTGAGTCAAGGTAACTGTAGCAGAAGATGTAAAGGCATGGTTGTCAGGAGTTGACAACGAGACTGGTTGTATAACAGAATGTGCAGAGGATTGAGGCTGTTGTTTCTGTTGCGGTGGACGTCCATGTAAAGCATAACAACGAGATTTAATGTGACCAATTTTTCCGCAATGGTCACACCGTCCACGTTGTCGTCCCAGAGGAGGACCAGTGGTAGTGCTCTAAACTAACTGGGATGGTAAAGTTCCTGAAAGGTTGGGAACCCGAACTGCCATAGCAGAACGATCAACAGAAGCAACACCTAATGGATAAGTCTGGCGGCTCTCATCTGACAACACATAGGAGCATGCATCCTCAAGAGTAGGGAATGAAGATAAGCCCAATAAATGAACACAAGCATACTCAAACTCGTCATTCAACCCAGCAAGAAACTGAAACACTCGATTCTTCTCCACAATTCCTGCATATAAAACTGCATTATCTGGATCCTTCCAAGAGTGGAAGGAATCATAATATGACATCTCCTCCCAAATAGCACGAAGCTTGGCGACGTAACCTGAAACTGTCAAGTCACCCTAAGAAATCCTGGTGATATCTCGCCCCAACTGGAAAATTCGTGGATTATTCTTCCTCTGAGAATAAGTGCGTTGAACTGAATCCCAAATCTGCTTAGCAGTCTTCATAAACATATAGCCAACAGCTATGTTTGGTTGCATCGAATTAACTAGCCAAGACATAACCATAGCGCTATCTGCAAACCTCTGTGGATATGCCTTCTCTGACTCAACTGGCTCTTTCTCAAAACCAGTAATATAGTCAATCTTGCCTTTGCCACCAATGAACATCTTGGCAAACTGTGCCCAAATCAAATAGTTGGAACCATCCAACTTCACTGTGGTGATTTGAAGTCCTGGATTTTCTGATGAGTTGGTGGGAAAAATGGCACCACCACCCACAGAACGTAAGCCAAGAGAATTAACAGTCGAGAACCCTGAATCTGCCATAATATGTCACACGACAATAAAAAACTCCAAAAACACAACAAATTCTATTAATAAATCAAAGGGTGTCCTCAGACCATAAACAATAACAATGTCTCCTCAGACCATTCCCGAAAAATCCAAATACATATCTTTTTTAAGGAGCGCAGCCCGCTTACATATAGCCAGACAACCTCCTTCTTAATATCAGGAAACTCTTTGTAGACTAATTTTTTTTTTTTTTTTACCCAAGCCCTTCTAGGTATTGGAAACCAACTATCCCAATTTACCCAACCCTAAAAGAGTGAAAAAGAAATTGTAAAACTTAAAAATACCTGTTTTCGATCACAAAACAGCAACACACAAAAACATGTGTAGGCAACGTCACACGATGTCACAAACAGTCTAAGGTAGCTATCGCACAAGTAGCAAAGCTGCTGAAAAATGTGGAAAGGTGTTGGCTTTGATACCAAGTAAAAATATATAAAAGGAAGAGAAATGAGAGAATTGTGTAAAGGCTTGAATGATATGAGTTACTCATTCACAACTCTAGTATTTATAGATAAAATGAGCACATGCTCATATTACAAGAAAGGAAACTAAATCAAATCACAACTTATTCTAAAGTATATTCTATGGCATATTCTATAGCATAGTCAAATCTATATATTATGGTAAGTCATACCATAAATCGTGGTATCATATATGCTAACATATGCACAGTCAAATCTATGCTATTATGGTAAGTCATACCATAAATCGTGGTATCATATATGCTTACAAACTTGATAGACGTTGTTAAGATCATTGTTAATAGTTTAAACTTTTGAGATAAGTGGTTGGCTAACATAGTATTTGAGCCTTGATTCTAGAAGGGCTTGCATCCAAAATACGCTATCGGCATGATGGCATCCATTCTCTGACGTAAGCAGAAGCGATAAACGTTCACAAGGAACGAGGGTTACCTTGAATCCATAAGGAAAAAGAGAATTCGCAGAGGAATCTGATAATATATTAATAATTGAATGAATGATCTGCTCTGCAGTACATGTATTTATAAATAAAAAACCCTAACAGCATAAAAGAAACCAACCCTAAAAACGTAAGGAAACTTGCAACGCAAGGAAAAATTTTATAAAAATAAGGAAAAAAACCTAATTACTAAAAACTGCTAAATACCAAAAAAGAAAGCAATGAATTTTTAGAGCAAGTTTGTGCAAAGGTGTCCAATGTGCCAAACAGCCAAGGGACAGACACAGAACACTGGGCTATATACCCCACTTCCCGTGTCAGAAAACATTTGGGAGGAATTAACCATGGATTTTGTATTGAGACTTCCTCAAACTCAAAGAGGTATGGATTTTGTTTTGTGGTTGTTGACAGGTTTTCAAAGATGGCGCACTTTATTCCATGTCGAAAAACCTCGGATGCCACCCACGTAGCTAATCTGTTCTTTCGAGAAATTGTGCGTTTACATGGAGTCCTGAAGTCTCTTAGTTCAGATCGTGATGTCAAGTTCCTTAGTCATTTTTTGAGGACTTTGTGGAAGAAATTTGATACCTCTTTGAAATATAGCAGCACCAATCACCCGTAGACAAAAGTAGTGAACAGAACATTGGGAAACATGTTTCGGTGTATTTCAAGTGATAAGCCAAAACAATGGGATTTAGCTCTTCCTTGGATTGAGTTTTCTTTCAACAGCATGATCAACCGGTCCACTGGAAAGACGTCATTTGAGATTGTTTAAACGAAAGTACCGAAGCATGCCCTAGATTTGGTCTTATTGCCCAAACTTCCAGGGGTGAGCATTGCAACAGAAAACATGGCTAATAACCGAAGTCAATCAAAATTTGGAACAGTCCAATGACAAGTACAAGGCTGCTGCAAACACGCATAGGCGAGTCAAGGTGTTCGAAGAGGGTGATCTTGTAATGGTGTATTTGCGCAATGGCATATTTCCAGCTGGAACTTATAGCAAGCTCATGAACAGAAAATATGGGCCATATCGCATTAAAAGGAAGATTAATGATAATGCATATGTGGTGGAGCTTCCAAATCATATGTCCATCTCTAATACCTTCAATGTGGCAAACTTATTTGAGTATCATCCTCCTAACGAGTCTCTTTATCCAGAGTTGAACTAGAGGACGAGTTCTTTCAAGTGGAGGAGACTGATGCAGAACAGATGGCTAAAGATTTTGGAACCCGTTTGGACCTTTAAAAGGTCAAACGGGCGGGCTGACCAATTTTTATCAGATGATTTATACGAATTCGTTTTTGACCCAGAAATAGCCCAGTTTGATCATAAACAGCTCAACTTGCAAATATCGGTAGCTTCACTGCCGTGGCTGGGCGGTTTTAGGCTGAATTCAATCATTTCGGGCTCGGGAATTACGTTTTCCCAATTTTGAATATTTCGGGATTTTCGTTAAAAGACAGAACAGATTCGTTGAAATCATCCGATAAAAATTGGTCAGCCCGCCCGTTTGACCTTTTGACGGTCCAAATGGTTTCCAAAATCTTCAGTCATTTGTTCTGCATCATTCTCATTCTGCCTGTTTGGGCAAAAGTTTGCACTCAATTATTTCTGCACGTTTGTCTAGCTCTTCATGTGCAACACAATGTCACATGTTAGAGGGTATGAGAGTTTCATATACAATGTCAGACTCATTCATCAACAAATTAAATTTTGGGGGCATGTTTGTCTTCTAACAAAGTATCAAAGGTTTTTCTTATGTATGTTCCCCCTTCTTTCTATATGTTATTGACACTTTGTTCGACTCTCTAACTCTTTATGTATGAGCGGGTTGGCACATGAGGAAGGGGTGTGAGAGCTTGATAAACATTGTTGAGTATAATCCTTAACAACTTATCTATGGACAAATGATTGTCTAGCATGATATCACAACTTTGATTCTAAGAAAATAAGTTAAAAAACATCTGTTTGCAACTATTTCAGTTATGACTGTTTGTAAAAATTTGCACACTTGAAGTTCTTGGAAACAAATCACCCTGTGTGCATCTAATCCTGTTACGCTTTTTGTAAGTTTTGGACTCTTTTTGGCCCATCAGATTTCCTGAACCTTTTTATACGAAAGGAGGTTGCATGTTGGCAAATATTGGAACTTACTACACATTGTTAAGCTACTCCTTAACAAAAACTTTTAGAGCAAGTGGAATTTTGAAAAAATATAAATAAAAAAGTTGCAATATTTGATAACTTCATAGAAGAAGATTTATCATAATCGTTCCTGCATTGATCCAAATTGAAAAGGGTCCACCAACAGGTTGCTCAACTTGACTGAAATAATTTAATTTTAAGTAAAGTTCATCATTGGCTGAGCACAGTGAAGGATCCACAAATGGTTCATGCATAACGATGTTCTCGATAGAGTCCTATAAAAACAAAAAAGGCACAGCATATAAAATATTAGGTAAGTAGAACGTACAGCAGTCCATGGTTTGTACTTCTGCAAGAACCAAGGAATGATGGGGAGAAGAATTTTCTGCGAAACAATATGCTCCATACAAACAGGCCACATCTTTTCAATTGCATAGTTCAACCACCGCACAGATTCAGAATCACAAAGTACCTGTGGAGAAGACAAACGGAATAGATCATTAAGAACATTTACACACAGGAGCCAACTAACGGTCCTCAACCTAGTTCCTAACTTGACAACAAAGAGAACATATACCAACAAAAAGAAAGCAAGGAAGAAATCCCCCATGTCAATGAAACGAAATGTGCTAGAAAGGCAATTAAAAACTTCAATCACAGACTTTTTATCGTCTGAGACCCAATAGAATAAAGATCCCAATCAATCTAGCATGACACAACTTTTAACTCGGTTGAAATTTCCATTCTCTGGATCCCAGAACAACATAAAAAATGGGATTCTTAATTTAATTTCTTTTGCTTTTCCTCAAATTTATCATTTGTCATCAAGCAAACTGTGAATAAACCATAAGAACCCAAAAAATCAAATGATCAAAATTAAAAAACACAAAAGTACCCGATTTTGATAAGACTGTCTTTTTTCCTCAAATTGCAATCTCCTTCGCAATCTCATTACATACTGCTCATTTACCTTCATAAAACAAAACCAAAATTGTCCACTGAATAGAAAAATCAACAATTTCACAACATATTCTGTAAACTAAAATCACTTGAACCATAATGTGTGTGTGTCAGTACTACTAACCAGATAGAGATAAACTAAAGAAACGACATAGGCGACCGTGTGGCAGCAATTGAAATATGAGAGTGACCAGAGAAAGAAAAGCACAATTGCCACATGGTGTATCATTGAAACATCCGTTATAGACATATTTACTTTCTTCTTTCAAGCCCAAACGCAATCACAACCGTCACTATAATCAATCAAAACCACCAATCCAAACAGGAAATCTTCTGATTCTAATTCTATTTACGGATAGTGATCAGACACCAACATCAAGAACTTCAACAAATATGTCACCAAATCATATCAGAAGATCAAGTTCTTCAATCCATCGAACAATAGAGATCGCCACATTATCCAAATGCACACACACAAAACCCAAAATTATATCCCAAAGTGACCAAAACCAAACCCTAGAAATCAACAGTTCTCACTCTACAAGTCCTCGCTTATCACGGTAAAGCCTCCCCCAGTATTTTCACTCAGTACATTGATATAGTACCATAACATATAAATATATATACATAAATGCCCAAAAAATGCAATAAGAAACTAATCTGAAGATAATCCCAATCGAATTCGACCCACTTTTCCGATTTCGGTTTCAGGACAAGGACTGTTCCGTACAGGTGAAGTAAACCGGCGAATATAGAATATAGAGAATGTATACATGTATATAGGGAGAGAGTTGGAAGAGACTGATTCGTCTTCAATGCTGGTCGTAGACTTGACTGGCAGTTTTCTGCCACGTCATATACGTGTTTGGATATGTTATATTACACGTTGATGGGGTGAACTGTATTACTATATGACCAGACACAATATCAACCGTATGATCAAAAACCAGTTGTGGGACATATGAGGTGGGTAAGTTGATGATGATCATGTATGACTTCTTGTGGAACGATAGATTGGAATGCCATAAGGCGTTTTGCACAGCGTATTGTGACAGGCCGTGATGCAAGGTGTTGATCTTATTTTAATCGGAGGGTCTGTAATCACTTGCACGTGGATGCGCCCTTGAATACCGCTCGATGTCTCGAAACATGCGGTGTCGGCAAAGTGGGCTTGGACACGGTTTTTAATGATAATATGATAGGGCTCCACCTGATCTTTTTAATTATTTGCAAAGTGGGCCCCGTAAATCACCATTATTTGTCGGCTTAAATGACTAAAATACCCATCGTTGGGGCTAAGCTTAATTGCAATTCCCAATTCAGATATTACCTCCGTCTGACATCTGTTTTGAACAAAAAGAGTAATTAACGTGATAATAAGACTTGCAAAGTATTTGCGGCTAGAAATCAATTTGAAGTCGATATTATTCCACTCCTTAATTTTTTATTACTCTCACGAGCAATAATATGGTGTATTAAATTAAGATTGAGATTTCTAATCTTATCTTTCACACACACATGTGAATATGTGATTGGTTGCTGGGCATGATGACATTGGCTTTTTTTCTTTTTTACTCCTTACCAACCTTTAATTTTCATTCTTGCATCCGAACCCACCACCCTGAATGGAACAACATAATTATTTGTTGCAATCACGGTCATTTTTTGAGGATACTTCTAGATTACAAAAAATAATAATAATAAATAAAATAAAAAAGATATCTTGCAATGCTGTTACTCAATAGTCAAAACTAAATACCGACATACCTTGTCATTTCATGTTTTAGATTTATTCATCTTACATTTTGGTGGCTTGGTCGTTAAGAGTTTGACTTGATTAGTTTATGTAGGTCAAAGGGAATGCATGTATCTACTATCTAGTGATAGAATAGGAGTGCTATGAAGATGGTAATTTAGTGATATTTTATAGGAAAAATTACAATGAGATAATATCAGGAGTAATAAATTATATAGTGGTCTATTTTAAAAGTTAATTTTTCAATTTGATTGAATTAAGTAAAATAATTTTATATGCATTGAAAATTATTGTTCAAATTCAAATGTTCTCCAAATATTTAATTCAAAATACCAAATTATTCTTCTTAACCCAAAAAACTCATTCATTCAACAAATTTAGGAAAAAAAAAAAAAAAAACCTACAACAGCACCATATATATATATATATATATATATTGAAGATTTTATTGTACACATAACTTTCTAATGTATACCAGCATAGACCTGCAAATGTGAACAAATTTCTGTGCACATTAAATTTGTATATAAATATAGACGCGCACACACGCGATCACCAAAAAAAAAAATTAAATGATATCATCACTAAATGATATACTAGCCAGCAAACCATCTTTGAATTAGAAGAGTTTAATTATTTTTCTTACCCGGAACTAATTTTTAATTGCCCGGTTTTAACTATATTGAATCTTACTTTATTGTTTATATAAGTTTTCATATACATGAATGTAATAGCAATACAATTTAAATTCAATAAGATCTTGTTTTTCTAATTTTTGAGTGAGAAAATTATTTGATTTAAGAAAGATAATTTATTTTTTAAAAAATAAGAGTTTGGAGGGAATTTTAGACATTAACACTAGTTATTGATGTATATATAATTATTTTACTTAATTAAATTAAAGTGAAAAATAAAATTTTAAAATAGACTACTGTGTTATTTAGGACTCCTAACTCTACCTAAATATAATTTTCTTATTTTATATGCCTTTCAAAATGAAAAGTGAATGTTGAAAGCCTTTTTAGCTCAAATATTAAATATCGTACTTAGGCTACGTTTGTTTGGATGTAAAATATTTTTCAGAAAATATTTTTTTATTTTCTAGTATTTCGTAAAATATTTACGAAAAAAAAATATATTAAAATTTAACAAAAATAACTTATATATCAATTTTCGACAAGGTATTTTACATGTCTTACCCAATGGACTCGATGTCAATCTTGACGTAAACCTTACCAAATACCGACAAAGTAAAAATAAAAATATATTTTACTTAGAAAATAAAAAAAAATATTTTTTTACGTCAAAATAAACATAATCTTAGTGAAATATATTTTTAGACCAACTAAGTCGGCCTTACAATAAAAGGCTTCTAATTTGATAGTATAACTTGAGAGGGGTGAAAGCCCCAAAAAACAATTGACAGAAAACATAATAGAACATAGCTAACAGTCTTTATCTATAAAAAAAAAAAGAGAAAAAAAAAAAGCATAGCTAATAGTCAAGTACATAGTTTAAAGTCCCAACCAAGGGTCAAACAAAAGTAGACCTTGAGGATACTTAGAGCGGAAAAACACAATCCAATGGGTGAAAGAATTAAATTTTCAAGTATTATTATTATTTATGTAATCTAATAATATAAAAAATTTCTCCATTTCGAATAAGTCTCTCTTGTAATATTATCTCCCATCACCCGCAACAACGTTCTTGTTGGGATCAGGCATATAGGTGGGCTCACTTAGACGTCTTTAGGCGAAGGCTTAGCGTGTCACCCGATTAAAGAATGAGTCTAGTTTTAATCGGGTGAGACAAGTTTTTCATCCGAATTCGATTCATCTACTTTCTCATCCGAATTCGATGTGAGACAAATTTCCCTTGTAACACCAAGTCTCTATGTAATGACAAAATCATGCCACATCTTTATAAATAATGTAACTACTCATAATGTTTAGTTTTACACACACAATTTAATCCAAATAAAGATGTTGACGTAGTGTTTTTATAACCGTTAAATTTAGATTTGAAAAAATTGGAGATAAAAAATTAATGGAGAGGATCCGAGTCCAATCGTGTTGTTGCAAGTATTTTTCTAACATTTACCGGAACATTTTTAACATTATGGAAAGACAGTTTTATATATATATATATATAGATATATTTCAGGCAATTCAAGTGTGTATAAAAAAAAATGAAATTTATGTACACGTTTACAAGCCATAATTCATGAATAACAAAACATATATAAATATGAAATAACTAGTGTAACTGGTCTGTGTTAGGAGTAACCGAATCAAAGGCCTAATTGTCAAGACTTGGACTAGATGCGTCCCAACCTGAATCAGAAAATTGGTTCGGCAGGATTGGATATTGGTCTCAACATCAATGGCCCAGTTTGCTAATCCGTCATTTAAGGGCAGATTGAAGCCCAATTGGCCCTGATTGTGGCCTTGCCCATGAACAAATCTGGTGAAAATCATTTAAATAAAAAAAGAGAAATGATAGATTTTTTGACCTCAATTGCCAACTCCTCCCCCGAATACAACGTGATTGAATTACGTTGGAACTCTTAAAAAAAATCCCGTAAATATTTCTTTCTCTTCGACTCATTGCCAACCACGTTGTATTCGGAGGAGGAGTCAACAATTGAGGTCAGAAGACCTATAATTTCTCAAAAAAAAAAAAAATTTAAAACAACACATACTATATGATCATCAGAAAATCATTTATTTAAATTAAATAATTATTCAGTAATCTAGCTGATAGAGTGCACAGTTCTATGATTGAGGATCATTTTTGTGAACCATACAAAATGCAAAAATGCAACTCAGTGGTGACCTTTTGTTTTTTTTTTTTTTTTTAAAAAGTATAAATTTGAATATTAATTTATATCTTGTGATATATTAGTACTTCGAAGTTACAATTTTGTTTCACTTGTTTTCAATAATTCATTTTATTTATAGAATTTTTTTTTTTAATACCTATAGATATAGTAAAAAAAAAAAATCATTTCCTTTTAATATTAGAAAATTCCCCAAACAGGGGACATAATAGGCTGAGGTACTATGTTTTATTGAGAATGCCCAAAAGTTCCCAATTCTTTACTTTATAATGATTTAGCTGCAAATGGATCATCTAAGTTTACATTTTCAAATTCAGAACCATCAAAAAGAAGAACAAGAAAAATGATAATTAAATTGATGTTAGTGAGTACCTGACAATTTATTAGGGGTGGGTTTGGATAGGTTCTGGGTTGATTATGAATGAGCGAGTTAACAGTGGATCAATAGTTCATTATCAACCCATTTAAAAGAGTTGAGTATTAAATGGACTAGTTAACACACCCAACTCAATTATCCAAATATTTTTAGATCCAAATTATCAAATTATTTTAATTAAATTTATTGATTTTTTGATATTACTAGTTACAATTTTTTTTATTATTTATTTTTTTTAAAAGAAAAAAGGAGAGAGAAATGGAGAGAAGATAGAGAAACAGAGAATATAATAGGAGGAGAGAGTTATCACAAATATATATATATATATATAAAATAATAATAAAAATAAATAAATAAATAAATAAAAAGAAGAAGAAGAAGAAGAGAGAAATGGAGAGAAGAAAGGAAACAGGAGGAGAGAAAAACATGGGAAAGAGAATAGGTGGAGAGAGTTATCACAAATATATATCTATATATACTATTCTAAAAGTGTTAAGAAATTTTTAGTGTAAGAAATTTCTTAACACTTTTCGATTTTTAAAAAAGTACAAAATAATTTTAATTAAATACTTTATATTAAATCTTTTAATCATTCAACAGTTATGTCATTTGAGTTGCCCCTATCCAGCATTAATACTACTTATATAGAAGTGTAAGCATTATTTTCTACAATTATTTAGATACGTTTTCATTACTTATAAGTTATTTTATATGAATTAAAAAAAAAAAGTAATACTTTTAAAAGCTAAATTACCTTTATTAATTTTTTCCTAAATCACAAGTCTTTTCCATTGTTTGTTTGGTACACCTTTGATTATTTCTATATATTTTTATTGATTTTAAATTATTTTATA